GAAGTGTTTCTTTTCACGATAGTATCTCTTACTCACTAAAAACAAAACCAACTCAGCAAAAGACAAGTCAAACCTTTCCCATTTACCTCTTCCCTCTGGTCTGGTTTTTTTCAAAACTAGTTGTCATTTGGTATTTGAGAGAGAGAAAAAAATACTAGTAAGTGAAAAGCATACGAAAAGCTTTTCAGGGAGTGGGAAGGTAGAAGAGATTACTTGTTTCTTTCAACCTTCTGTTCCCATAGAAAATACTTCATCCTCATTTATCACTACTCCCCCTCTCCCTGCCCCAAATGCCATAATTACTAGTTTTTAATGATAACAATAGCTACTAAGCCCATCAGTTCACTTCAGATGACACCCAAAATATTATCATGAACAATCCCAATCTCCAAATCAGTCTAAATATAAAGGAGACGCACATGACCTTAGCGATCAAAACGAAGACAGACAGTGAAGTGTGGCTGAAAGTATGTGAGCTACAATATCCAAGTTATAAACTGAAAAACATGATTATCAAGAGGAACTGGGACACATTTAAATCTCCTGACATAACAGAAGATACTACTCATTTGTGGCCACAGGTGGTATACCTTTGTGGTCAACTTGCTATTTTGCAGCAAATAAGCAACCTTTTGTAAATCTGTACACATCTATTGTATGGTAAGTGATGCCTTAAGGCAAAAAAAACAAAAACAAAAACAAAGAGTACTCAGCGAGATCAAAAGTAATTTCTATTCCTTCCTGCCCACAAAACACACAAGCCTTGATGAGTACCATGACTTTAAAACCACAAGAAAACCAATGGCAACTATCTCAGACTTCTACATGGCAGTAGGAAGACCTTCTGATTCTTGTGGTTCCAAATCCTACGTTTGACTGCGTACTTTTAAATCAGTGTAACAGAAGTCTCTGTGCTAATGTACTGCTGGAGGAGGAGGAGGTGTGATACAAACTTAGAAACTTAATAAAATCTTCAGTCTATTATGGAGGACCATTAGTGCGGAGAGATAAGAGACACATCCCAAAGGATCTGAAGAGAAACAGTATGTATGAGAAGAAATTAAAATAATTTATTGCTTTCCATTGTCAAAATTCAAATACTGTTAAGAATGAGGGATGAGGAACTAAATCCAGAAAGCAAACTATCCAAAGCCTGGCTATATTCAACACAAATGTACACAGCTTTATTACCATCAAAGGGTTCAAGATCATTTAAAAGGCAATTGCTTCTGTCTGCAATACTGTATCATGCCAACAAACCAAGATACTTTGGGTACATTTTCCTTTTATCATGTCCTTTCATCTTTTGTTCTTTTGGTAACGAGGCCAAATAGGCGTAGGATTTCAAAAGAGACATAACTGCTTTCTTGTTCACTTCTGATTTTCCATTTTAACACATCAGCTTGGAAATAGACATTCCACACACATAACTACAAAGCAAATCCTGTTCATTTCACAAAGCTCTGCTGTAGCCTTCCTGGCCACCTTGATCTGGAATTTCATAGGCACACATTTTTTAAATGAACAAAAAGGTATATAACTGTAATACAGGAATCATCTGTCACACTCACATCTCATATTATTCCTATTGAAATTTCTGTGGGAAAACAGGTACAAGTAAAACCATGAAGACCATTTCCTACATAAGTCTAGGAGTTTAACTTAACATGGAGTAGGTCTGAAACCCTACACGTTAAACATACCACCACTGTTATGCAGACTTTCAAACAGACCACCTCTTGTACCTTAATCTCTTCTGAGGTACAGAAAAGATTGTCTCTCTGCCTTCAGGATTGTAGCTAAAGGCTTAAGATTCTAATGTTTTTGACTTTGCTAACTTTCTGGATGTGAAATCAGCATCTCCTCTTAGTGGTCCCTCACCTGTGGTGAAAACTAGGCCTCAATACATATTTTTAATGCAAAATCATGATATTGAACCACTGTAACAAACCATAAGAGAAGTTTGTCCTGGTGTTTACAAATACTGCATAAAAGAAGACTGAAGCAAACTATGTTTACCTCAAGCAGCAGACTAAGCTTACCTTTGCATTGAGTACAGATCTCATCCTTAAGAGAAAAATCTAGCTGTCCCCTGTGTATGTGCTTTAGCCCCTCATGATCTTTTGCCCAGCCTACGCAGAGACAAATGCTCTGCCTGCAATTTGGTTCTTGAGCATCATAGGATAACACCCTGACAATGTTTGCTTGAGAAGAGTATCTGGATACATCTCATATTCTTATGGTATATTCTCTAGCTTCAACTCTAGTGATTTCTCTGCAGATGCACAATAAACTTCTCAATATCTATGCTAACACATCATATTTATGTTGTATCTCAGGTAATTAAAAATACATCATGCACACAACTTACACATAAAAGCCTATTAAGTGGCACGCATGACTTCTGAACATCAAGAAAACAAGCTAATTGTACTTGTGAATGGTCTGTGATCAAGTCTTCTACAAGACATGGGCAGCATATAGTTCTGTATCTTCCAACAGTGTGCTGCCACAACATTTATCTCTGCTTTCAGTTTCCCATACTGATATAGTTACCTACAATGCAGTGCATGAGGATGGGAAGGTCAAATCCATCTATCCAATCAATCTTAGCAATTAAAAAATACTTTACATCAATGTATTGCTTGCTGAGGGCTATGTATAAATAAAGGAGGGGGGCAAAGAAGGAAGCAAATGATATGGAAACATCCTGGATAGAAATTGAGACATCTTCTTCAGCCAAGATTCAGTCTCTCTGACATTACTCCTTCTAAAAGACACTGCACAGTCTTATCCAACTATAAAACCTCTGATGACTCCCTACAGAGTGCTCTATCTGCCCCATGTAACGGTGCCAAATGACTGTTCTCTTCCTACCCTCTATTTTCCCCTAGTTTTCTGCAGATTAGAGTCTGCTGTGGATTAGGAAATACTCCTGTACAAGAGTGATGCAGTGGAAAAAAGTCAAGCTCCCAGTATGCCCTGGTCCCTAAAACCCTCTCTGATGTAGTCATTAGATGGTCAATGCTGAATTCAGATTATAAAAAGCAACAGAAACCAAGCCTAGAGAGCAGCTATTATCTAGTATCCTAGCTCTACCTCTCTCTTATTTCATAACAGGAGAGTTGTAAACATAAGAACTTTGGCATCCATTCAATACCTTCTCTCATGTTTTTACTTGCAACTATGTCAGGCTTGCATGTACACTGAAGTGTGCAGACACAGGTGTGACATTCTGAGTCCTTACAGGAAAACTATATCCATTAATAGCACAATATTCGCTCAAGCAAAGCATCAGGAAAGCATCCGCACTGGAGTCATAATCTGAAGGCAGCTACTGGAGGCTTTCATCTCCTGCATATATCAGCAGATTACAGAAGAAAAATCTAAGAAATAAAAGGGCAATTCAGAAACAGGTAAATTTATGAGGGCAAATATGCAAATATGCACATCCTTCGCTGTTTGTTTATCCGTAACTTTACAGCGTAGTGCACCTCCTGCAACACTCCAGATAACATAGTAAGTCCTGAAGGCTACAAACTCACCACATCATTTGTTGTTCTTCAAATTCTACATTAGGATTCCAACTAGAAGCTTTAGAACAACAACAACAAAAAAATTTAAGCAAATTTACAAATAATAAAGTAACTCGTATCCATCAGTTGTGTCTCAGTCCAATTCAGTGCATTAACAAGAATCTCTCTCAAACCACTACTACAGCTTTCTTTCCATTAGAACCACTAAAGCTAAATAGGGAAGGGTAGACAGCTACTCACACCAGTGAAGTGGCGTTAGGTTCGAGCAAATGGGCTCTCTTTCCTCCCTTTCAAATGCTCTGTCACAGTTGCAAAAGGTTTTGCCTTGGTCTCATGTGACCAAATTACTCACCTTCCCCATCAGGGCTCATATTTTCATAGGAATCCCAGCGTATTAGTGGGTCTGAGGTATTGTAATCAACTATCACTCCATGGTCATTCTGAAGGTGTTCACATCCTAAAAAATAAACATCTGTTTGAGACCAAAAATTATCATAGCCACATTTGTAATGATATACACGCAGATATATATGTGGCCTTCTGACAGAAGTTTGCTCCCCAAACTGCCTATTCCCCATATTCTGAAATGTAAGAAGCAGCAATAGGGGAAGAAAGGTTATTTAAATCAGCTAAAAAAAGCTTAATTTATGTTTCATTACAGAAGGTACAAGCAGAGAATTTTATCTTGAGCTTCTTGATTATGCTGTAGCTCTGATAACTTGGATCAGCGCCTAAACACAAGTAAAACAGATGATCCACCCAGCCCTACAGGCAGGCACAATAAAACAAATAGCTTTTCAGAATGAAACCACAAGTATCTATAAAGAGATGGTACTAAAGGAATGATAAAATAAGACTTTGTTACAGATTATCATTCTGATACCAGAGCAACTTATCACTAAAGATGAATAGGGAGAGCTGAAAACACTCCGTGTCCCTCCCAGCTCCCCCCCAGGGTGCCAACTATGCTGTTTCATCCATTCTCCAGCTTCCTGGCAGAACCTGAGATTGGGCGGCTTGCCTTCAATGTGTTTTGCTGCGCTTAAGTATACTCTGTCAAACGTACCTGCAATTTTCAGCAATGACCCCCATTTTTGTGCCCTGAATGAGGCATAAAATAATATTCAGCTTTTAAATGTATACCATGAGGAATTTAGGTGTGGTCCAGTGATTCAAAAGCAAAGCGCAGGCATCAAGAACTCATGACCTTGGACTTGACTTTGACAATGATACAAATCAAATCGGCTTTCTGCCTTTGCTCCTCTATCTAGATTAGGGAACAAAGCAATCCTCAGTTATCAACTCTTTGGCTGTGTCTGGAGAAGCAAGTCCTACTGTAAATTGTTCTAAAGCAGCAGTGTTATGCACATGCTGTAACTTTCAAAACAAGGCTAGTTAAAGTTAGAAAGACAAGAATGCTATGGTCCTGTACCCTTACACGCAGGCAGAAAAAAGCCATCTGTAGAGAGTTTCTGTGATGACGTTTGTCACAAAGTAGATTTATGAAGTTTGTTACCTAAATATTTAGGTGTCTCATCTTCTTGGCAAGTGCATTCTTTCTTAAAAACTGTATCACAGTCCGTTATTTTCTAGAATACCATGTCCAGTTTCGAGCTACACAATACAAGCAAGCTATGAATAAAGTGACTCAAGTTCAGAGGAGGGCGACCAGGGTGGCCAGGACTGAAGGACTTGCCCTGTGAAGAAAGGCTGAGGGACCAGGGCTTCTTCAGTCTGGAGATGAGATGGTCTTGGGAGGACCTGACAGCAGCCCCCCAAAGGCCGTGGAGGAGACAGAGCCAAGTGGAAGCAAGGCGGAAGGACAACAAGGAACAGGCATAAACTGAATCTAGAGAAGTTTAGAGTCAATATAAGGAAAAAATAAATCCACTATGAGGAGAGTCGGACATTGGAACAGTCCACCCATTGAGGCTGTGAAGTCTCCATCCTTGAAAGTTTTCAAGATTTGACTGGACAAAGCTCTGGGCAACCTGGCCCGATCTCACAGATGATCCTGCTTTCAGCA